AAGGATACATAATATGTTCTGTATATTATTTGTTTGGTGGTTATTTATTGTTTTATTTAAAAATCATTTTTAATGTATGTTGATTTTTTTATATTTTGTGTTTAATTTGAAAAATGCATATTATGTTTTGCATGTGGAAAATTTGAATCATAATGATGATTATAAATTGAAATATAATGAAGAATGCATCGATAATTTGAAGAAAAAAAAAGTCATTCATTGAGAGATCGTTGTTACTTAAATTAGTAAAACTAAAAAAAATTGTAGACGATCAAAATTATTTGAAAAATTTATTGTATTGCCCATGAAATCATAATTTATCTTTCTTGTTTTATGAAATATTTGTATTAAGAAAAAAAGTTTAACTTTTGATTTCTTATATTTATTATTATTCTTTCATTTGATTTATAAATTTTATAAAATACATATTAAATTCTAACATATTATTAATCTTTTCTTATTATATATATTTAACAATACATGTCTTTCATTTTTTTTTTATGAGATTGCAATGTTGAGATTCGAAAATCTTATTCACTCCTAGTGGATGAAAGAAACAATTTGATATACTTTATTATTGGACATTGCATGAATGGAAAAAATGTTGCTTATCAAATAACTTAAAAGAATGATTTTATATCATGTTTGAAATGTTACAAATCAAGAATTCATTAAATATTATTTAATTATATTATTTTAAATAGTAAAATTTAAATTATTTTTTATAATATACATGGCGTACCATATGAGACAATATATTTTATCAATTAAATGATAAATATTTATCATATAACAATGTGATATTTAAACTATGGAATTTTGTATTTTTTGTTCTTTCATTGTAAGCATATTAAATTTATAAAGCTTAATTAATTAATTAGTGTGATTAGCTATCACAAATTTAGAAAAATGAAATAACTTAATCAACCGATAATTTAAACAAAGGTTAATTACTAAAAATTTTAAGCTAATAATGAAACAAAAATATAATTTTGCATATCCAAACAAGACAAATACTAAACGATTAATTAATTTATGTGTAACACATGCACTAATATGCACTCATCAAAATTATTTAAAAAGAATTCACACAATTGATAGTTAAGGTTATTTTTTTTGCTTTTATAAGAATATATAACTCTTTTTTACCCGGTCATCCCTTACAAGAATAAAGAGGTACTTCTGCTAATGATTTCATACTCAAATAAGTATCAAACCTTAATATTTAATTAAAGAGTATAAATATTAAACCATTTGAACTAATGACTTTTTGATACAAATATTACATAATCATCTTTTTCTATTATTTTAGAATAAAGATAAAATATTTTTAAAATAAAAATAAAATACATTTTAAAACATAAAACTAATAAAATAGTTTTTTTATTATAAATTACTATATAAAAATGTATTTAAAGTTAATAATTTGTGTCGCACATATAACCATTCTAGTATTTTGTAAAAGAAATAACTAAAAATAGATTAAAGAAATATGTAAATTATTTTATTAAATTGTATTTTTCAATGAAACTATCAAAATAAAAAATCTAACAAAAAAATAACTATAAATGTTGTAGAACTTAATATTCACAATAATTTTAGTGAAGAAAAGGGAGAAAAAAATAATTTGAGGAAAGAAAAAAATATACAAACTTTATATATTTGGCTCTATTAATAATTTGAGAGTAGATGTTTATAAGTTACTTATATTATTCTTATTATTCCTATGAGTTATCTTTAAAAAATTATCCAATGAAATTTTTTTGACAAAATTGACTCCATCATTTTATTTGAAAAAATAAACATTGTCATTAGGTGAACTAGGACAAAAATTTTCATATTTAAAATGCATGTATTATCACTTTTGCGACCACATGTTAAATAATTTGAAAATTTAGGAAGGTATGGATATTTGACAAGGAAACTTGGGTTGAGCTAGTGACAAATCATCAATTAAATTAATATCTTATCATCTTAGATCTATGAAGGCAAAGATATTTGACGAGAAAACTTGGGGTGAGCAAGTGACAAATCATCCGTCAAGTTAATATCCTCTCATCTCAAATCAAGGAAACATTTCATCAGCATATAAAGTTAACTAGTAGTTGTTATGTGGAGTGAATCTCCATCAACACCTTTTCTTAAAATCAACGTTGATGGAAGCTTCTTTGGCAACCCATGGAACACCAATTTTGAAGGTATTATTTACGTAAGTAATTGGTAATCTAGTTTCTCAAACAAGTGTGGAAACACAACTGGCTTGAAGGTAAAACTATTTGCAATCAGCCAATCTATTGTGGCCTTAAGAAAGCTTGGAGTGAAGGATTCAAATTTGTCACATGTGAGTTTGATTACAAGGTGACGTTGGAGTTAATTCAAAAACATTATTATACTTTTTATCCTCGTTTCTCTTTGATGAATATTATTGTTAAGTCAAAAAATGATCTTAAATCATTAAAGTTTTAGAGTTTTAATGTTAACAAATGAAATGTACTAATAAGAGAAAATGTTTTCTAAAATATTTTCGAAAATATTTATTAGACAACTATAACTTGATGCTTGGGTTGCTGCGATTAAGTAAGAAGAGTTGCAACTTTACTAACAACTATAACTTTTTGGCATAGTAGTAAGTGCTCAATCTAATAATTTGTATCAGAGTCCTAGTCGTGTGCTTGATTTCCAACAGGAGAAATCGCCAAGGGAGAATATTTGTTGGATGACATCAATTGTCTCGTAGCGAAGGCCTAAGTGGGTCAAGTCATAGTTAACATGTGACACTTTGACTACTACAATTAAGTTAAAAAAGTTTACCTTGACTAACAATTATAACCTTGAGTCTAATGGTAAACACTCGATCCAACAATTTATAATATTCATTTCTAGTCCATATACATTGCCCTTTTTGCCTTTTAACTTGTGTAGTTTATTTTTTATTTACATTGTTTTTATTGTGATGGCACGATGAACACTACTTCTAACATTTTTATGTTTCTATATTTATGTTTGTGTATTATCGGAGCCACTCAGGTGATAACACTTATTTATATGAGAACATTTTTTATGGATCAAATAGTAGATAAGGGATGACATTCTTGTGACTACTAGGCAAGAAGCCAATGATATACTGGAAATTCTCAAATTAAACACTATTGTCCACTTAGTGATTAGCTAAACCTTAGACTAAACATCATTGTCCATTTAGTGGTTAATCAAAGTTCAATAGTGCTCAATTTGACCTAGTTTTTAATGTTTAATTGAGGGTGAGCAGAGGTCCATTAGAGGAATTTCACCTCCGGTGTTAAGGAATTTCCTTAAATAAGTATACCTATAAAGTGGAATTTTAATGATTGTAGAGGTGTCAAACCTACATCACGAGGAACACAAGCTCGGACTGAACCCTAAACCATTTGTGCCAACCCATGATGACATTTATATGAGAACACAAGAACAACTAAAAAGAACTTTTAGATTAAAATAAATGTCTTAGATTAAAAGATCATAAGCAATATCACCATGTATTATTGCTATTATATTTCCTTTTACCATTGTTATCATTATTACCATTATTGTAACTACCACCATTTCCTCTACCTTCATTGCATTACCACAGTTGTCGATGACAACTACGATAACAACAATGACAACAATTATAGTGGTGGACATAGTAGTGGATATCATGATAATGTGGTAATGACGATGCGGTAATGGTAACAATTGTAATAACGGTGGTGAGAGGGACAATAATTAAGGCAATGATGAAAGTGACAATGCACAGTAGCTTTATTTATAATATTTCAATGTAAATCATTTGTTTTAATTAAGGATTGTAATGAGTGGTTCTCATGTTCCCATATTAACAAATATTTTTACTTTAGTCGCTTCTATACAAGGCGTTTCAAATGAGAACACCTCTTATGATGAGAAAAAATAAAACCATTAAATCAAACATACAACTCACTTAAAATTTACAAAAAAAAATTATCATGTATTATTGTTATCAAATTTGTTTTTACAAGTCATTATCACGACTCTTATTGTCATTATCATCATTGTCGTCGCAACCATCATCTTCATTATTGTCACACTATCATCATTATTAACGCTACCTTATGATATTCATTTTAGTCTTTATCTTACAAATTTAAATTAATTTCACCCACTGTAAACGATGATTCTTTTTAATTTTGTAACATGATTTTGAATTAATTTTTTGATTAATTTAAGTCATGAAATGTGTAATATTAAATTAATATATATGAAAATTATAAAATTTAGTTGATGTTTAAATAAAAAAATTATAAACTTAATAAATTGTCACAAAAATTAGATAATAATATAAATCATGTAAATTTAATGTTACATATTTCAAGTCTAAATTAGCAAAAAATTAATTTAAAATTATGTAATAAATTATTTTTTAAAAAATCAAGTTGTTATTGAGAATAAAAATAAAAATATTAACATTTAAAAAATAAAATAAAAGAACAAGCATAATTTAACCTATAAATAAAAAAAAATTGTGTTAAGTTTAAAAAAGAAGTAGCACCTGAAGTGAATTTACCCTAATAAATGAAGCCGGAGGGCGTGAGGGAGGGGCATATTCGTCCATAGTCATTTGTTCTCTGGATGAATCATCATGGTCATCCACCAACGTGTTCAAGAGAGCAGGGACAGTGCGGTAACTTCACGCTCCAATGGAAGTAACTAGGCTCGGCTCTTATACAAGCCAGGCCTTTATTATATATAAAGCCTAGGTTCTCTTCACGAATCCTTTCCGTGGTTCTCGACTCGGGTAAGAGCCTTAGGGTTCTTTATCTCTTCTGCTCACTCCCTGCAAATCTCGCGTAACGCATGTCTTTCCTTTTCAGTTTCTTCATTTAATTCCACCGTTGCACTGATCTGTCTAACACACTGCTCCTCTGAGGTTTCTCCGGGAACCTAGCTAAGATTTTACTTTTGCTGCGTAATTTGATGCTCTTTGCTATATCCATCTCGTTAGTTTAGTTATATATTTGTTGGTTTATGTTGAACGCTTGCTTTCGTATTCGGTAATTGCTTTGATTCCGTGCATAACGTTCTCTTGTCGATCTGGATTTCTCAACCCTACCGAGGTTTTAGTGGAACTTGTCGTGGTTTATCTTCGCCAATCAACAGTTGGTGATTGCTGCGATGTGTTTGGATTTGATTTGATATGAACCGTACCGGTTATTGATTTTCAAAGCCCTCTTTTGTGACGACTCTGCTGGCTTGACTCAAACACTGTTTGTGTACTGATTATAGGAGAAAATTAAGGTGTACAGTAGCATATCGACGCTGCTGTAGCGCAATCCTTAGCTTGCTACTGCGCTTTGCGCGTGGATATCTATAATTTCATGTTACCACAGGGTCTACCTATGCATCTCTTATAATATGCCACGAATTATTGTAGATTTCTGAAAATTTGTTTTGTTAAGCTTGGAACTGCAGTTCTGTGTTTGTATCTGTTGATGCATTGTTACTTTTAACCGATGAATAATTAGGTTTTTGTTTACTACTGCTTTGTTACTCCAGGTCTGTGGTTTTACAGTTTTAAATTTTGATAAATAAGGCCAACGCAAAGACAATGACAAAGAAGAAAAATTCCCTGGTGTTTATGGATGTGTCCATCGACGGGGATCCTGTTGAAAGGATGGTTTTTGAGGTGCTTTTTGTTCTTGTTCTTATGTTTATTATTTATGCTGCAACTTTTGCAATAGTCAACTTAACGAGCTTTTTCCCTCGCAGCTTTTCTATGATGTTGCACCCAAGACTGCAGAAAACTTTCGTGCATTATGTACAGGTATTATAGATTTGATTTATTTCATCATTTTTAACTTTTGTTTATTGGAACTCTCCTTTCCCTTTTCATAATTAGCATTTTCTACCATCACGGTTACTTATCAATCAAACAATTACTTAAGAGTCTTAGACATATACTTATGTACTTGCTTGCATGTCATTTTGGTTGAAAGTGGAACATTGGCTGAAGAGTGTCTATCTCAATCAATGGGTCATTAATTCCTTTTTTGTATGAAACTTTTATTATGTTTAGGAGAAAGAGGTATTGGTCCAAATACCGGAAAATCACTGCACTACAAGGGTTCTTTCTTCCATCAGATTGTAAAAGGTTCCATTGTGCAGGTATGTTGTTCTATTTATACTTGTATTTAGATTGGTATATGGTAGTTCAAATTCTATATATGTGTTCTTGTGGTTGAACATGGCTTAGTAGTGGTCGCCGTTACCCTTGTTTATGCTGTAGGATACACTGGGCTGATGATCACGACTGCTTTTCTTGTGATATAGTTTTAAGGTTGTACTTACAAGTTATTTATACTTGCAATTCTAATGAGCTTCATGATGCCCGAACCCATTTTGTTTGCATTTCTGTAGTGTGATTGTGTATTAATGGCTTGTTTTGCTTTTACAGGGTGGAGATTTTGTCAATCGAAATGGTATGTATTTTATTGATACATTTCATCTCATTGAGTTACCTTACCTATCCATTTTTTGAAGGTTGCATTTTGATACTATATATGTAGTCACTTTCTTTATGTTTTTTTATTATTTGATCATTCAGTTGTCCGGGTTGCCAGCCTTGTTCCATTTGCATGTTTCCCATGACAATGGTAATTTCTTTTCTAAGTCAATTAGGAACATGATTAACAAAATGTTCCTTTAGGTCAACAGTTTGGCCTGGCCTGTTATTGAGTGGGGTGTTGAAGTTTTGAAAACTATTTGATTTGCTTATTTTGGATTAGTTTTTGATATTTTTCTTTGTTGATATTGAATATGTTTCTGAATGTGTTACTTTTTAATTCACCTTAGTCTTGGGTGCGTGCATTTTTTTTTGTTGAAAGTATTGTAGCTTATAAAACAGTTTTTTCCCCCTAATTCCAAAATATTATTGTGATTGCTAGTAGTGTTTCCAGGTTCCTTTTTTTCCCCATAAATTTCCTTGATGTGTTGATTTTCCCCTATGGTATCATTCTCTATTTTATTATGATTACTTGATATTTTTCTACGTTTTGCAGGGACTGGTGGAGAAAGCATATATGGTTCAAAATTCCCAGGTTAGAATGGCAAGCCAAGCTCTCAAGATCATATTCTGCTCTATGTATTGATTGTATCATAGTTGTATTTCATAATTAATGGAGCATGTATATGTGATTTGTTTTAGATGAGCCACCTAGGCTGAAGCATGATGCTCCTGGCCTTTTATCAATGGCAATAGCAGACCGTGACACTCTTGGTTCTCATTTTATTATCACTTTGAAAGCTGATCATAATCTTGATAGGTTTGTGCATCTAGTTAATTTCTGGCAGCATTTTACTTCCCATGTAGATGTTCTATTTTGAATGAGGGTGTGAGAGGTAACATGCCTTACTGTACAGTTATGTGGCCATTTTGCAGGAAGCATGTTGTCTTTGGGAAGCTTGTGCATGGGCATAATGTATTGAAGAAAATTGAAGACGTGGGTGATGAAGAAGGGCATCCAACTGTAACTGTTAAAATCATTTATTGTGGTGAATATAGCGAGGGTGAGAATTACTTGGCCCATTTTGAGAATACTTATTATTCCAATCTGTATAATGATATGATTAAACCCCATATGATCTTGCTGAAAATTCTGTCTCCAAGTCTATAAATGCTTGCTAATTATGAGTTGTGTTTATTTTTCCTCTTCAATTGAATGTGCTTTTTTCTGGTCCGGTATTAAATATATTTGATCGCTTGATTTTAATCTTTATACTTACAGATGGGAAGAAGGTAAATAAATCAAAAATGGGAAGGGATGGATCTTCTGAAGCCAACAGTCATGAAACACGGAAGAAGGGAAAGAATAAAAAATCCTCAAAAGACCGAAGGAAAAGGAGAAGATACTACTCATCTGTATCGGGGAGCTCTTCAGATTCTGACACGGAATCTTCAGAAACTGATAGTGATTCTGAGTCTGATATATCTTCATCATCTTACTTGAGTTCTTCTAGTGATGACAGGCGAAGGAAGAGAAAGAGATCTAAGAAAGATAAATATAAAAGGGGAAAAAGAAGAGATAAACGCCGTGACAAGAAGCGAAGGAGAAGGGATAAGAGATCGAAGCGGAAATCAAAAAGGTATTGAACAATTAGTACTTCATATTGATTAAATTAAACCTTTGGTTTATCATTTATGAAGTTCAGATTTCAGTCATATATCTTTGTCAGCTTTCCTGTTTGCAGCCATGAACTTGCAATATTCCTTAGGCCAAGAAGGCTGGCTTGTGTTTATTGTGTTCTATTGTTTTATGTGAATATGCTATGAAAGTAGGTTATGTCTTGTGTCCGAGTGTTGTAGTTACTATATGTATTTAGCTGCTCTCATGGCTCGACATCAATTTATGTGCTTTTAGAATCAGGAGTAGACTATTTTTGTTGTTTCCTTGGGAATGATTTTTTTCTTGTATTTTTGTCAATTAGAAACATGTATGTGGTTGACAGTTTCTGAATTTGATCTCTGTTTTTAATGATCTCATCACTATCTGTTGGCATTCACAGATAATTAATGTAAGGAGCATCTCGTTATGTTCTTTAGAAAATTTAATATAATGATTGTTGTTGTGAACTAGTACTTTTTCACACATGGGCATACTGAATCTGCTCATTTTTCCATGGTTGTTGCTGAATCTGTCATGTTATTAGGGAATCGGTCAGTGGTTCAGATAGTGAGAGTAGCAGTGACAGTAGCTCTGAAGGTGAAGGTATTGTTGCTCAACATAAAGGGCCAAAGCGTAAAGATCATTCTCAAAAAACTGGTAAACTTTAAATTGATTTAATTCTGTCTGTCCTTTTTGTTGTCTACAATTGGACAACTTGAAACTGCTTGAGTTTGTTCTATGCTTGATTCTTTGGTATTATGTATAACGATTTCTTGAAACTTCTTCCCTCCATACTTTGTGGCACAGCTGAAATAAAGTCTCCCTTGGTTGAGAAAGATTTGTCTCCTGGGCATCATAAAAAGGATGAAGTGGTTATGCCAGGGAAAGGGGAAAATTTCTCGAAGGAAAATGGAGAGCGACACAGCAATGGCATTGGAGGAGCTGACTACGAATCTGACAGAAGTGCAGAGAGGCAGCCTGACGTTATGGATGATCATTCGGGCAAAACTAGGTCTACTTTCCTTTTTAGTCACACCTCAGTTATTTCTTATGCTTACCATTTCTTCCAGATCTGGTATTTTATTGAAAGTTGATGAGCAGGAGTCGAAGCGTGAGTCCTAAGCGATCCATGAGTAAGAGTATGAGTATTAGTCCCAGGAGGAGTGAGAGCAAGAGCCCAAGTGTCACTCCTAAAAGGAGATTGAGCAAAAGTCCAAGTGTTAGTAGAAGCCCTCCTCAATCACGGAGGAGTTTGAGCAGAAGTCCTGCTAGAAGCATCAGTAGGAGCCCAAGCAGAAGCATCAGTAGAAGCCCAGTGAGAGGCAGGAAGGGGAGAAGCGTCAGTAGAAGCCCTGTGAGAACTCGTTCTCGTAGAAGTATCAGCAAGAGCCCTGTAAGATCCCATTCTCAAAGCCACCGAAGCAGGAGTTCTCCCAGAGCATCTTCAAGAAAAACAATCAGCAGAAGCCCTGTACGAGTGTTGGAAAAGAGTGTAAGCCGCAGTCCAGTTAGATCACCTGCAAGAAGTTTAAGCAGAAGCTCTGGTAGAGTTCCCTCAAAGAGAAGCATCAGCCGAAGCCCAATCAGAGCACCTAGTAGAAGCAATCGCCGCAGCTATTCTAGGAGTCCTAGCCCTGTTCGTAGGACAAGGACACCTCGTGGGAGGAGTGTTTCAAGGAGTGCCTCACCTGATGCTTCACCAAAGCGTATCAGAAGGGGAAGAGGTTTCAGTGAACGATACTCTTATGCAAGAAGGTACAGAACCCCCTCTCGGTCTCCTGTGAGGTCTTACCGCTACAATGGAAGAAGTGACCGAGACAGGTAAACAGTGTGTAGTTTCTCTAACAATTCATCACACTAAATGTTATTAAGATTCAAGATTTGAACGTCACAATAAATATTTTAACATTTATTGTCCACAGATATTCTAGTTACAGAAGGTATTCCCCTAGGCGTTTCAGGAGCCCACCACCACGTGGAAGGACTCCCCCAAGGTATATTTGTGGCCCTCCTGTTATCTTAATTCTTGGTAGTTTTTTATTGTTGATATTTGTAATGCCCATTTTAGGTTCTTTTGTCTATTGATAGCAGTAAACATGATCATTTGAAAACGTATATGTAGGTATCGAAACAGGAGGAGCAGGACGCCATCTGTTTCACGCAGTCCACGATATCGAGCTCGACGATATAGCCGAAGTAGAAGCCCAGTTCGAAGTAGGAGCCCAGTTCGTAGTCGTTCACCGGTTGAAACATATCGATCACGGCCCTCTCCTCGTGTGGAGAGGCATGCATCTTCTTCTCGGAGCAGGAGCCCATCGAGGTCCAGGTCCAGGTCCAGATCTTCTGTTGAATCTCCACCAAGAGCTAGTAGAGACAGCAGGTCCAGATCATCGTCCAGAAGTCCAGATGGAAAGAAAGGCCTGGTCTCTTATGGCGATGCTTCTCCATACTCGGGTCAAAGGTGAAGTATGTGGCGTGGAGGGCTTGGGCTTTGGGTTACTGTAACCATTAATGAGCTAGCTAGTAGAGGCTTCAATTTTTGAACTTTACCACCTGCATTGCTTGCTGGAATTCGTGGATGACATTTGTTTTTCTTTTCTTTGCCCTTTATAGAACGCAGTGGCATGTTGAAAGATTCTAGTACTAGAATAAGCTAGACGGTACTTGTGACATTAGGACAGCCTTAGTTGTGAAGTTGTTGCGGTATTTGTTGGAATGTTGTTGCTCTAGTTTTGTTGAATTTATAAAATCAGGTCTAGCTTCACTAGACCATTTTTATACTGCACCTCCATGATTCAAAAGAATTGTAAAACTGGGTTCTGTACGTTTCATTTCTAAAACTCGTTTTTTAATTAAAAACTTAATAAAATTATTATAGTTATGCGTCTAATATAAAACTTGTCTATTAATTTTAGCGCTTTCTTTGAAATTTACAAACAGTAATTTTCTTAAAAAATATTGTGTCAAATCGCTTTTTAAAAGGTTTTAGTTTTAATATCTTGCATTGTCGTTAGGTAGATATAAATTGCTAGCTATTTCGAAGCCGTTTTTCTCATTTAATCGAGTTGGAGCTGCATCAGAAAATTATGATTTTATTCCGAGCTTCCCCCGCTTTTGAGCTTGAATATTAACTTGATCTGTATTCAAAAGTTTAAAATGTCCTCTCCATGAAGTAATATTACCAAGTTAAAATGGCAATTTTTAGTTAAATTATGCATTGAATCTTGAACTAATTTTTATGTAAAGTTGAGTGCGAAGGCGAAATGGATCGTTTTGGATTTACACAAATAGGCTACAACGTCCTGCTCTGCTTTTGTCTGTATTGATTTATGTTTTAAAATTTTTCTGATAACATATTTTTGTTATTTTTTTCATCTAATCTTTCTGTTATTATTTTGATATGGGTGTTAGCCAACCAAATACTTGTATAAAAGCAACGCTGATTCATTCAATACAATTTGAGTTCTTTCTTACATAATAATTACTTCTAATAAAGGACGCGACTGAACTAATGGACTAAGAGAACAAAACGATAAAAACTGGCAAAATATACAACTGAAATATTAACGTATCCTTCATTGTTGTTTTTTTTGACAGTATCCTTCACTGTTCTTTGTCATATTATAACAGTCATAAATTCCAACCCTTACAATAAACAAAGTCAGGATAGAACAATAATGGGACTTTATTATTTTTTTTTGGTGTACCAACAAGGGAAATTTTTTTGGAGTACTAATCAATCGATAAAATCATAAAAATATTATTACAGACTCTGTAAACTATTGAACATTGATCATCTTAGTTTTTGTTATTATAATATCAGAAATTAAAATGATTTACACTTAATAATTTTAAGAACTAAAATGATCATCGTTTATTAATTTGAGGAATGAAATGGCAATTTTATGGTTTCAAGGATTAAATTAATTAATATTTATATTTTTAGGAACAATTTTAATATATTATAATCGCATAAATTGCATAGATACCTCTATTTAACTTCAATTGGATTTTATAAACTCCTTTATTATACCATATCCGTTTAATTAAATTTACATAACAATTATAATGTATAATTTATTAATTGCGGAAGACGAGGTTAAAGAAAGAAGTCTTAATTCGACCTAAATGCTAATGCAATTTAGGATATGTTTGGATAAAATTATCGAAAAGAACTTATGAAAAAAATTAAAATTTTCAATAAGCTAAAAGTTATTTATGCATAATTTTTTTTTGGGAAACTAATATAAAAGAGATTTTACAAATTAGCTTATGTATAAATTTAGTTGATAAAAAAATTAATTTTATTTAATTTTCTTATTTTCTTTTCTTTCAAGTATTTTTAGATAAATTAATCCAAATAAACTCTTATTCATACGAAAGAATAGTCGGATATAATTTTATACCGAAAATTTCAAGGGTTTTGAAACAGATAATTTTTATCCTTATTAAAAAATTATATTAGTTTCTTTCGTGAAAATTGCACATGTAACTAACAAAATCTTCACTGCCAACACGATTTTGCAATTTAACGTATAAGTTTCGGCTCTTTTCTTTTCCTTGTCTTCCATCACCAACGAAAACACTAAATAAATCATATATATTTTGTTTCATATTTATTATACCAAACATTTTGGTTTTTTAAAGATAAAACTAAAAGAGAAAATATTAATTTACTGGATAACAAGAATAAATAACATAATTATATTTTGCATAACTATATATTGGTGTAAATATTAATTATTTCAAAACACTTATGTTTTAGCAAGTCCCAATCTTACTTTTACCCTAATATACTTAGAGAAATTTTATGGATCTAATGGTGTGTTTGGATGAAGAATTTTACAAATTTAAGGAATTTTAAATTCTTGATATTTGAATTACTTTAACTTCATATTTATTAAAATTTTTAAATTAAATTTTATTAAAATAAATATTATATAATTTTTAAATATTTAATAATTTTAAAATTAATATTAAATAATATTTAATAATTTTAAATATATTTTTGAATATTTAATAATTAAAAACATGAAAAGATAAGAGATAAGAGATAAGATAAAATATATAAGTGAAATAAGAAGAGAAAAATATGAGGAATTTCAAATTCTTACTCTTTTGAGAGAATTTGAAATTCTACTGTTTCAAGGAATTTCATAAATGTTTGAATTTCAAGTTCCTTAGAAATTCTTCATCCAAACAAAATATTTCACCTCAAAATTTGAAATTCTTCAAATAAATAAATTACTCTATTTAAATTTCCCACCCAAACACACTATAAGAGTTTTGAAATTGTTACGGAGATTTTTTTTCTATTTCTCTTTTTTTTTTTTTAGAAGAAATAATTATATGGTCTAAAATTATCACATATATCATATATGTAATCTCAATCGATTTTTAGTTTTACATGACGCGCCCACAATCAAAATTTTCAATTTAAAAAAAAAAACTAATAAATTCGAATATGTTTTAAGTGAAATATTGTTGCAAACCACCAAACTCTTTCACCTATTAACTCAACATAATTTTACCAAAACCCTTGTATTAATTTCTATCCGGGGCATGCAAGCCAAAAGAAACTGTAAGATTACAAAAACATATTTATCTATTATCATGCAATGCGTGTGAAAACAACTGCAAATTATGGACAACATGATTTAACTCATCAATTTTTTTTATTCAATTCATATTAGTGAGACTACAATGAACACAACAAGATTCAAACTTATAACCATAGCTATACTAGTCTAGTCTCATCAGTGACCGAACATGATAGAAGTTAATAACCATGCAGAGAGCATGCTTCCATGTCAGAGTCCAAGCTCAACTTGGCCATCTTCGTCATCAACAAATCCGCCTTGTCTCGAACCCTCACCGACCCTCTCACACAAAGATCAGCCAACACGCTTGAAAACTCGGGCAACATGAGAGCCTCAGCGACACACTCTTCACTGTCATCAAAAAGCCTTATAAGGATATCAGCAGCACCCTCCTTACTCAACAGCGACCTCCCTTTCAACACGCTCAACATAGCCCTAACTATCTCGTGATCCCTTCTCTTCAAACCATTCAACCCTTCCTCGAACCTCGCAAGGAGTCCAAGAACCGCAAGAGAAGTTCCAGCCAAGTCCTCACTCTCGGTGCTCTGCACAACCCTAAGCAGCACTTGAATCGCCCCGGCTCGCACTGCCAAAGTGCAGTTTCCATGGAAGTGGACAAGCTCAGCCAAGGAACTCAGGAGGTGGTGTGCATCGGAGCCACGAGAGCCTTCAATGGCTCTCACTAGCAACTGAACTGTTCCCGCCACACCAAACTTGGCCTTGTTCTTGTCGTGCATGGCGAGGCTGCAGATCAATGACGAGGCTAGCTTTGAGGAGTCGAGGGAGCACGATGATGAGGTGATGAGGGAGTTGAGGTAGTGAATGGTTTCCATGTCGGAGAGAGAGTGCTTCAAGTCGGGGTTTAGGGATAGGTTGAAGAGGATCAACAAGGAGAGTGTTTGGATGGTGGGGTTGGATGCGTTTGTTAGTGTGGCTAGTGTTGCGATGGCTTTGTCTGTTTGAGCCACTAGGGTTCTGTTCTGGGGACTCACTTTCGTGATGGATGCCAAGGTTTGAAGGGCTTTCTCTTGAACTTCGATGGAGTCTGAATGAACTTGGGAGAGACATTCATTAATGGTGTCGAAAACGCGAGATACTGACGACACTGATGACATCTTTTCTAGGGTTTTGGTTTAGTGTGTCCGTGTTGAGTTTCAGCTTGCTTTCAAGTTTCACGTACCCACCAAGCCTGTGGTCTTTTGAATTGCAAGTATTTGAGAAACTTAAACAGTGCATTGTTGGTTGTATAAATTATGTGTATGTGTAGATATTTTCAATGTTTTATTAGCATCGGAAATTGCTTCAGTTTGTTTGTCCTACTCTTTGATCTTCTGGCACATTTAATCTTTTTCTTTTGTCCCTTCTTATTGGCAGGGAACGGAATTTGGGAGATAGATGGATCGATCCATTTAATAGTAAACTAACTAATACAAGTGTTAAGGTCACAATTTGTTTATACTGATTTCCGCTCAACATATGGTCTAAAAACGAGCTTTGAAATTGAATCTTTTTAAAAATAAGAGAATGAAAACAAAATTAACTGTCATCCATAAAAAAAAAAATTTCAATAAAAAATTACAATACTAAAATCAAATCCAGTCCTTATAGTGTTAGATTTAGATAATGATTAATAAATCAAAATTAGTACTGATATAACTGATTCATTAAGTTTTATAAGTAAAAAAATATTTTGAGAACCTAAAATTTTGGACAACTTTATGTTTGAGTCGGCCCTGCTTATGATATATCGTAAATAGTTAGAAAATCTCATGTCTATTAATGGTAACACTATAATAATATATTGCTCTTATTTCATGCATAATGAGTGTAATTTTAACTTTTAAAAAATATTTTAAATTGAATGATGTTCTCATTCTTCAATATAATATTAAATAATTTTTTCATTTATTGTTTTATTAATTATTCAAACACCATAATTTTTTTTTTTGAGAGAGTGTGATATTTTAGTAAAAAATGATATATATTTTTATTTTTTTTATTTTATGCGTAAAAATAATAAACTACAATAATTGCATAATGGATGAAGTAGTATGTGAGTAGAGAGTAGACAATAATTTTTACTTTATAAATTAATCAGTTTTATAATATTAAATTAAAATTCTAATTCACTTTCACAAATTACTGTATTTAATTATAATTCAGGGAGAATCGAAACCTCCAATAAAAATGAAGCATTTAAAAATTCACTTAATTGAGGAATCTAATGTGGCAGTGTGTCTGAGTATCTGTTTGGAATTCCAAAATCATAAGTTTGGTTGAGCTACAAGAGACTAATTTCCGCCAAATTGTGGTTTGGAATTTTCCCAAACGAAAATTGGGACTCTCATGATGTGAATTTATGTTGTACGTAGATATTAAAAGTACGAACTAATTTTAATTTTTGAGACGTATAAATATACCGTTTTAAATAATTTATCTGTAAATTCTCACACTAGTTTCTAGATACAACAAAGTTTTTATAATACTAGATCTAATATTAGATTGATGATACAAAACTAACAAATTTTTAATCCAAAAAAATGAAAAAACATTAAGAAAGAGAGTCGAGTGTGTTCTGTACATCTAACTCCTGTCACAAGAATTAAAAATAACTAATTTTAAAATGTTTAATAATTAAAATTAATTAAAATTATAATGGTCAAATTGATTATATCTCATTACAATCAATATTAGTTAGGTTTTTAAACATGTAATTAATAAAATAATTATTTTAAATTTGAATTTAATTTAAATTAAAAATAATTTCATATATAAATAAATTAACTTTTTGAAATATCTCAAAATATATAACAATCTCCTACAAATTTCAAAAGGCTTAAAAATAAATTTTGGATTTTTATATAGGATGTCATGTATGGGACCCGGTGGAACAAACTATTGAATCAGACATAGATTAATAAAACTTCATATAATGTAGTGAGTGTAACAAACTATTGAACCTAAAACACTGAACTTGTATTAGAGGTTAATCAATCACAATATTTCACAATCTTTATCGTTATTGCTATTTTGCTCTTTCAAGCCATGTGTATGTTTGATATTTATGAGTGTTCTAGAGATTTTGCTAAGATCTCATATAAGTGACCCCACTTGACATTTATATAGGTGATTTCATCAAGTGTATGTTGCGATTCATACACCATCTATAAGAGATGTGAAATTCATTAAAATCTTTATAAAAAATCAAGCTTTCTCATAATCACATAAAACTTAACTATAAAGATTATCATCTCATTAATGTAGTTTTAACACTTTCTCAAATCATTGGAATTGATTAAAAAATTTAAATTGATTAAAGTCAATTTTAGTGCTAACAAAATTAACAAGTGAGTTATTTTACTCACTGAATCATTTTCATAAGATCTTTAATCACAAATATTTGTTTACCATCACTTTTTATTTCAAGTGACTTTAATAAACTCTCATTCCCCTCGATGTTTATAAATAACTCACGATGTTTTGTAAATAATACTTTCTCTAGGAGTTTAAAGTTAAAGGATCGACCAAATTCATTATTGACTATACATTATCAATAAATTTTGATCTTCAAACAATTGCTTTATCACGTCATTTCTTAAACATTCTTAGTGAAAATAATAGTGCTCAAGCTTACAAAAGCCTTTGAGAATACCCAAATTGGGTCCTTTATTGTTGCTAAAGTTTCTTATGCAAGTTATCAAAACAACAATGTTCATCCACGTTGTGTTGTTGCCTCCCAAGCACAAACACACACACACATTTAATAGTGATTTACTAAGAATTTTCATAGATAACATTAGGCCTTAAGATTGATAACCATGGATGTAATACAAGCTTATTTGAATTCTTGAGTGTCTAATACATTGTCTTAAAGGATTTATCTACAAACTCTCATGATATATAATAAGATCTTTTTAGTATTAGATTGAAAATGTAAAACTAGCAAATTTTTAACTCATAGAATGAGAGAACATTGAGAAAGAGAGAAGAGATGCACATCTGACTAAATATTTATAGAAAATGATATTGATTATTGTGATTATAATTAATCACAAATAATCAAAATAATTAATTAACTAAAATTAGAATAATTAAGATATTATATATTATTAAAATCAATATTAATTAGCTTTTTAAACTTGTAATTAATAAAATAATTATTTTAAATTTAAATTTAAATTTAAAATAATTTTACAAATAAATTAATCTTTAAAAATATGTAAAAATATATGACAATTTGACTTATATATATCAAGTCGATTAGTGGAGGATCCAAGAATCTAAATCAATGAGGTAATTTTTGTTTTAAAAAATACAAATTAATAACGATAATCATATATATATATATATATATTAAGAAAAAAATATAAGGATGAAAAATAATCATAAGTGAATTTAAAATTTTAATATATATTAATAATTTAATAAGTGAGTAGGTGCATTTCTCCGTCAAATATAATTAAAGTGTGGTGATGTATTTCTTACCCTAAGTGTAGGTGCATCATGAATAGAAATATTTTCCTTGAGAACAGGGAAACGAGGGACTTGGTACAAACTTACTATGATATCACTCCTTCGTTAATCATCAATTAAATTTTTAACTCTATATATTCTTTTTTAACTTTTCAATGTTGGGCCTTAAATCTCCCATTCCACTACAGGCATCCACCGCTAATGTATCACTTTTTTAATTTTTTTTTTAAAGTAGTTGAATTACACTTTTATCCTCGATAACATGAAATTCATGATTATTTTAGTATAAGAAAAGTAAAATTGTAATACACACACGTATGCATAATAACATACGCATATGCATAATAAAATATTTATTTATTTAATTTTAATTATTAATTCTCTCTAAATAAATCTGACATTAAAATAGCTACATAAATAAAAGTAAAGTATAGTCCCCAAAAAGTTGTCCAACATCCAATATATTCTACAGCAAAGCAGCAACATCCCGTAATAACTTTTTTGAAGCCTACCTCACAGCTTTTTCTACCCTACCACACTCACAAACCAATATCTTAATGTTGTTCTAAATAATAATATTAATTTCGAGACCAATAAAATATGTCTGAACACTGAACTTGTGTAAGTGGCATACAGAATATCAACTACGTGATATTAGTTTTAAATCTCTATAGATGCCCGACACACACCATTGGAAAATACTACCTACAAGTTCTACTTTCGAACTGTTCTCACACACTCATTCTATTTAATTTATACATAAAATATGTTACACTAACTTTAAGTTATTATTAAAAAAAAAATGACGCAGATGAAGGCTAATAAAATGTCGTCTTTCCTTTCTTTACGCTAGCTATTTCAATCACTCGCCATGAGTTTCAATTTTCTTTGGTTAACTTAACCTCGATTCTCCTTTACTCATTGTGGGGTTTACCTGAGTTGACTACTTAAAAAGTTTGCACCAATTTTATAAATAAGATTCCATTTTTTCAGAAAGAGAGAATGAATTGAGGTTATTTTATATTTAATACAATGCTTTTAAAACCTCTCATGCAATATAGGAAGGTCGACTTCATATTTCTGGTATGATTATCATCAATGTTAAAACTTAATCTATCAAATTCTATGATTTAAGCTAAACTAAATTATGTCGACGATGAGGTTTGTTTTAACAACACACGTTTATCAGCAATAAATGGAGACAAGAATAGATCAAACAATCCATAAACAATCTATGACCTAACTTGTATTAAACCTGAAATGGCGTCAACTTGTTTACAAAATAAAACTATATTCACACGTCTTCACTTAACAATAAATTTTGCAATATCACTACTTTATAATAATTGACTAATACACTAATACTTTTAAAGTTTCATTTAAGAAAAAAATATTTTTCTCATGATAACTAATTTATAATTAAAGGTTTGCAAATCAAAAACTTAAAATTAATTTTCATATTTAAGATTTCAATAGTAAAAATAATTTTTCTTATAAAGAGTATAACCCCTTTCTAGTATGTTGATCCTTTGAACTAACATCTTTTGATATAGTAAAAATAAACTTATGATATCATAAAAAAATATTAACAGTTAGAAATTAATTGTCTATACTATTAATGAAATCGATTTACCTTCAAAAACATTTTTCTCTTTCATACTTTTTTTTATTATCTTTTTTCTTTATTTTTCTATAAATTTATTTTAATTTGATAATTTGATAATTTGATTTTAAAGAGAGATATTATTCATATATATATTTTTTATAACATCTTTATAATATTATATTTTATTTCATTTATCTTATTTAATTTTATTCTTTTGTATCTTTCTAATTACGTTTACAAAAAATAATTGTTCATTTGGTAGTGCAAAATGAAAAACCAACAATCACATCCTTTTTCGGCGCCCCGGGGGATGAAACCTGCTTTTACTTTTCAACAATCAACCTTGAAAAGAAGATTATCCAAGGTTTATGTTTCAGAAAACGACAAAAGTTCATAACAACTAAATAGTCAAGTCAATTAATAACAATAATAAAAATATAACCACGTTAATTTTTTTTAGTTAAATTATTTTAATGATAAATAATGAGGTTAAATACTTAATTCAGTTAATTTAACACAAGTTTAACTAAACTTAATTGTGTTGATAATACTTACTATATTTTAAAAATATCAATCATATTAAACGTTTTTAAGCTAACAATGATAAAACTATTCGTGTTTTTGCGTGAACTATATCTATATAAAAAAAAATTATTGGTTCCCGATAATATTTTTAAAAAAAATATAACTAGATTATTGTGGATTAGAATTAGAATTTTACTTTAATAATAAATATATATTATGATGATAAAAAGTCCTAGTTTGAGATGAGAAGAAGCATCATAAGTAACTTTACCTTGAGTTTTATCCTCTCATTTCTTCCCTTGACTTTTGGTCTTTGGAGTGTGAATGTGATGAGTAAGGGGCATTATGGTCAAGAAAAGGTTGTAAGGGAACAAGTGTTGTGTAAGTGTGAAGAGTGAAGAGTGAAGAGTGAAGAGTGAAGTAAGAAGACAAAAAGAGGTGAGGGAAAGTCGTGGGAACGAAGAAGCGAACAAAGACAAATCAAGGAGGAAAGGGAAAAGCCCTTGTGCTTTTTTGGGGTTTGTTTCTCACCAGGTTAGTGCAAAGAACAAACCTTTCCTCACTTTTCCACCTTTCAATTTTCTTTTTCTCTTCGTTTCTTTTTTAATGTAGGATTCTGGTATATATTACATAACCAGCAAGTTCGTTTCATACCACCAACTATGAATGACATCATATTAAACTGAACCTTTCAACTTCATTTGCTTAATGCTATTTCGTACATTATTTCTTTTCCTTTTTTCTTTTGGAAAATTCAAGACGGCAAATGGCTAAAAAAACATGATTTTATAATAACCAAATATTCTTCTTGTTGTCTTAGCCCAAGTGCTTTCCTCGCTTTACTCAATTTCCACAGGAATAGATTCTCCAATCTTATTCTCTTTGTACCAAGTAAAATACTTACCTAGGCTCCTTCTCTGCATTTTGTGGATTCTTCCTCATAAAAGGGTTAAAACTTTTTTAAAGTAGATTTTTTTGGCACCTTCAGTTTCCATCTCCTTTTCTTTAGTGCCTTTCACTTTCTGTTAAATTTCAACGAGTTTTTTTTTTTTTTTTTGCTAGTGTTGGGGTAGCTGATGCAGATTCATTGATGTTGTTATTTTCCTTTGCCACCCTCCCATTTGGGTATAAATAGAGGTTGCTGATGTTGGTGCTCTTCATTGCAGAAGCTTATTTCAAGCATTGTGGAAGTGACCTGAGCATTTAGCTGTTTGAGTAGAAAATATGAGCTACGGCAGCTCCTCAACGAGTTCTGGTCAGTTGTGATTCTACATTTCCATGCCATCTTCATTGCCCTACACATTACATTTATTGATTTACTAGTGAACCTTTCTAGCAATTATATCAGCTAAGATTTCTGGCATTTTTTAAATGAACTTTATTGCTGTCATGTTTCAGGTGGTGGGACTTCTAGAAGGACATTTGAGTTTGGAAGGACCCATGTGGTCAGACCTAAAGGGAAACACCAGGCAACTATAGTTTGGCTACATGGCCTTGGTGATAATGGTTCAAGGTATATTGATAATATGAATGAATATCTTATGCAGTCATGGTTAAACCAGGGATATTATCTTTGTTAGAATTGGAATACATCTTGAGATTTATTTAAGAGAAAACTTTTCTTCTCTTTGAGCTGGTTGGAAAATGGAATTGAAAGGTTATATTTTGAAAAACTCATTGTACTCACAGCAATAAACTGCCATGTACTTTCTCAATGATCGTCTTTGTCAATTTGCATGGTTGAACAGTTTGGAGTTGATGTTGGAATTTTAATATTTTTATAGGTTTCTTCCTTTTAATTGGCAAACTTAGTTGAGTGGATACCTTCTCCTTATGCTTGAGAATATGTCTCAATGAAATGATGGATTTGTTTTGTTTTAATGAATCCAAGGGAGTGAGTTAGGGAATGTCAATGTCTTGTCCTCTCCTAGTGAAGTTTGTTTATTAAATAAGTTCATAGACTCCATACCCTCTTTAAGGAAATTCTTGTCAATTGATTTGGTGGGATGACACAAAGGTACTGCCAACCAAAAAAGTATTTTATTTCATCTTCTAGCTTGAAAGTTTACAGGAAAGGAAACCTTGACTCTTAAGATTTTTATATGCCAAAAAATAGAAAGGGGACCACTTCTTGACTATCTATATTGTTACAAAACTTAATGGACATGTAGATTCTAATCACCAAACTAGGACATGCATAATCCCAATGCTCAAGTAATAAACTCTTGATTTTCATAATTTTGAAATCAGGTTGATTAGTGCTTATATTCATATATTACAACTTATGCCATTTATAAATACGTGGTCCCAAAATTAGGTAGGGCTGATATAATTTTAATGTGTATTTATTCTGTACCACCAGAACTCTTGGCCCATAAATAGTTCTAATATATTTTTATTTTACTTTTACATGTTTGTATGCCTAGTTGACACGTTCCATATTAGCCTATGGTTAATAAAATAGATCCTTTATTTTGTTTTGCAGCTGGTCCCAACTTCTGGAAACTCTTCCTCTTCCAAATGTAAGAACAAGCATACTTTGGCATCTTTTCAGTAGCTACTGCACATTGATGTTGCACCACATGCTAGTATGCAATATTTGGAAAGCATGTGTGCTTGATAATCAGTTGCCACTTTTTTCTTAAAATTTATGTTGCAGATTAAATGGATTTGCCCAACTGCTCCTACACGGCCTGTAGCCATATTTGGTGGATTTCCTTGCACTGCTTGTAAGATTCATTGTGTGAAGCTCTACATTATTCACTTAACCACTGTTCTTTTACCATGTTTCACGACTACAAAATTTGCTTCTACACTGCTGTGATATTATATATATATATATGTATGTATGTATGTATGTGTATATATAGGTTTCTTTGCCAACTTACTGTATATTTAATGTAGAACTATAATGCCAGCTCTTTTTTAACTGTTGTGAATAGTCTAATTTGATTGAGGCTTGTCTACCAGGGTTTGATGTTGGAGAGATTTCAGAAGATGCTCCTAATGATTTAGAGGGTTTAGATGCTTCTGCAGCACATGTTGCCAATCTTTTGTCAACAGAGCCTCCAAATAGTAGGTTTTTCATGAACACTTAAGAAACTAATTGATTTGATTTACCGTACGATTTTTGCTTGAGGGCATGATTCACTCACTATGGGAAAGTATCTTCTAATATGACATGATAGGTCATACAAGTTTTGTATGTGTCTCCATATTAATTTTGACAGGGGCCCACTTATTTAATATCTATCATGAGAGAGATACAAAAGTTGCACATGACTGTCATGTGAAATCTGAACATGAGAGGATCCATTTATCAATTCACTACATTAGCTAAATCTATAATATGAAATGTCATAATAGAAACCATGATACTAGTTGCTTAGACCACAAATACTGAATACATGCCCCTGCAAGCCTCTGCTTGTTTTTAATCCAAGTTTTCTCAATCTCCTCAAGCCATATATGGCTGGGTACATGAAGTGAGCTATTGCTTATGGAGCTATGGTAATGTAGAGTGAAAGTAAAGGGTTTTCCTGTATTTTGGAGGTGTTCAATGAAATCATCAACAAGATCTGAAGAATATTGAAGTAACAACGTGTTTATGCTCTTTATATTCTTTTGTAGATTCCATATAATAATTCAACACAGTTGACCCATATAAAAGTTCATTCTATTGTATATTCTCTGGCAAATATTGGTACCGAGTACTGTCAAATTACATGCAAACTTCTTTGGGGGAAAAGAGATAGACCATTTTTAATCAGGAAAATAACTTATTTTTATCTTTTCACTGTTTCCTTGTTAGTACTTAGTAGAACATTAAGCATCACAAGAACTTGTTTAGATGTCTGCTTCAGTAGCAGCAGAAATTTATCCTGTATTTCTTATTTAGCTGCACAGAATTTGGTATGATGGTATAACAAGAAAAAATTGCAAGCTTACAAGTTACAAGTCATAATGACATCCAGAGCCTTTGAAATAATCTTCCGTGTTTGCTATCAATAAGGTGTTTAGATTTATTTACATCTACATTTTGAGTGAGGTGATTGAAGTAGTATTCAGTAAATTAATGAATTAGAGAAAAGCCAGTTGGTATGTTTAGATTGTAATGTATTAATGGGAATGTCTTAACCTTCAACTAAATTCAAGTTGCTCGTAATTTGACTTAAATTCTAATGTTTGCTGTTCAGTCAAACTTGGTATTGGGGGCTTCAGTATGGGTGCTGCAACTGCACTGTATTCAGCTACGTGCCATGTTTTGGGGCACTATGGGAATGGAAACATTTACCCTATCAACTTAAGTGCAATTGTTTCTTTAAGTGGCTGGCTTCCTTGTTCAAGGTTTGGTTTCTACCATTTTTCATGGTGAATACGTAAATGATCTACTAATGTGGCACATCCACCAATAGTTTCCTTTTAAGCTATACGTTGTATAAGCCACTCAGGAGCTTCTAATTGATCCAGGACCTTGAAAAACCAAATTGAACGATCACGTGATGGCATAAGGCGTGCAGCATCATTGCCCTTATTTCTCTGCCATGGAAAAGGTATTCTTAAGTTGTATCATTTATCATTATAGTTTTATGTATATTATCTTTCCTGATGTATCATGTATATATGTCAAAGACGAGATACTAGTTTTATGCTTTCTCCAGTCAATAATCTGTTGTTCTATCTGGTCAATAATAGTCCCTGTGCACAACAAAACAAATAAATGCCTCGTAGGAGGTACTGATTTATCACAATAATGATTACCAGTCTTAAAAATTCACTGATTCTTTTTTACTTGCCATGTCGATCTTCATTTAGTTAAATTTTTTGACATTTTTCTGCTTTCTGTGAATTATCTGAACGAGCTTCTAACCAAATTTTAGTTCATTCTTTACACATATTTGTGAACTTCACTAGTAACCAGAATATTCTTTGCTTTCATCATCTATTGTAGTATGGACTTCGAACTTGTAGGATATAATCTTGAATTCATGCAAGAGGGAGCTGATGTAATTCCTGATCAATGTACCATATATCTTGAATTGTTTTTGCAGGTGATGATGTGGTTGCATATGAACATGGAGAGAGGTCTGCAGTGGCCTTAAGTTCTGCAGGATTCCCGAATCTTATATTTAGGAGTTACAATGGGTATTCTGCTCTTTTCTGAATAGGTTATCACATATCATATTGGTGAATGACTATAGTCTAATGAATAATACATTGTTGCTTTGTAGGTTGGGTCACTATACAATCCCTGAAGAGACTGATGAAGTTTGCAGGTGGCTAACTGCAAATTTGGGACTGGAGGGGTTTCGGTTGAACTGAACTAGACTAGAGAAGTAAAGCTGAATTGGGTCACACATATAAACCATAGTTAGGCAGTGAAAGAGGGGCTATAAAATAGATAGTGGTGTGGTGGGGTATATTAGTGATGGTATAGTCGCTTCATTCGCTCTCCTATTCTCATGGTACTAAATAAATGTTTTTTTTTCCAAGGGTTACTATCTTTATTGCTTTGAAATTTGGGAATGCTTTGGTGGGACATGGATAGTTTCCTCCACATCCAGCAAATTTTGTTTATTTCATTCGGGCATGGATATGTATGTTGCTTTATGTATTCATATTGTCTAAATAAAGTCTAATTTTATTAAGCAGATGATATTTTCCTTTTTTATAACTGACCAGGGACTGCTCAGATAAGTTTATCCAGAAGTACTTTTAGGATAGAAAAATAGAAAGAAAAATCAAAATAAGTTTTTTTATAAGTTAAAATTGATCTGTTTACGAGTTAGAATAAGATTTTAGAGAAGTTAATAAGAGAGAATTTCTACAAAGTAGTTTATAAATAAATTAATTTTAATTGAAGGAGAAATTTATTTCATTTTCATTTTTATTTGCTCTCTTAGAAGTGCTTAAGAAAAAAACTTATTTAAACATGTCCTAGGTTTATTACATCATTTGGCAAATTTGAGTTGGGATTCAAGTAATAGGCAAGGAGACTTCAATCGGTCATATAATCTAAATAAAGTATATAAGTAAGAATAATTTTTACATTATAAGTTGAATTTTGTAGAATTATGTTAGGTTCAACCAATGTACTTGAGAATTTCTAAAAACTATGCATATCTCATTGTATGCAGTCCATTTCCTTAATGTTGCAGCTCAAAAACCTTGTGGGTCAAAATCAAACTTCAAACATAGTTATGAATGTTGCCTGTGATTTCATTATGGATATATGAACAGCAAGAACCTATGGTTGCCGCGGGCATGTGAAATTGTGAATGATGACAATGTTGTTTCTCTAAAAACGTCCGCAAAACAATTTAGATCCTGCCTCTTGATTCTGCAGAAGGTTGATCAACAGATGCTTAATTTTCCGTTAGGCTATATTTGGATTGAAGTTTACAAACTCAAGTATGAATGAAATTTATTTTTGTAAATTGTCTTAATAGAGTTTAAGTTTGATGTATGAATTTATGATTATTATATACAAAAGACATTTTGGTGAAAATGTTAATAATAAAATTACATATTTAACTAAAGATTTTTTTTTCTTCATATTCATCATTTTGTACAATTTTCAAAATATAGAACCACTCTTAATTTTTTATTTGAATTCTTAGAATTATAAACTTTGGATGAGGATAGACCAAACAAAATATTATATTAATCTGAATTTTTTAAAATAAGTATATTATAAGAAGAGTACAAAGAAGAAATTCATACTTTACTAAGGGTATTACATCATATCAAAAGATTTTTTTCAAATACTTGCATTGTTTGTAATTATTATCGATAATATTTATAACAATTATTATTGTTGAAGAATTATATATTAAGAATAAAATATTAGAAATACTTAATTATATAACTTTTATAAATAATTTCGTAGTTGACAAGGAAAAAATAGCAAATTATATTAAATTGAGATTTTAATATAAATTATACCTCAAGCTTCATAAGTTCTGGACATGGCCTATTGATTTGTGTCAAATCTGCTTTTGTAAAAGAATAAAAAAATTTAAAAGGTTGGAAGTAGAAAGATGAAACAGGAGTGTGTGAATATAGTGACCCTATAGTTGAGCTGTAAACTGCATTGGGCTCATGGGTATTGATTGAAGCTCAAAAGAAACTCGAATTTTTGCTGCTTAAGACAGTGTTAGGTTTGACCCCAAAAAGTACTGTGCTAGTGATAGTGTCTTTTTTTCACCTTAGTGCATGACAGCGTGCTTCTCTTGTTCCTTGTTTGTTTTGAAAACATATATTAGCTTGACGAAGTTATTTAAGCCTAATACAGATTAAACTCGGCCCAATTAGCCACTAATATTTGAGTAATATTAGTATTTTGGGACATCATAATTTTATAATGAATGACAGCCTAATATTATACACTTAACATGAAAATAAGTTTATTGAATGGTGATATCAGTTTTGTTTTTTCCTTTTATGATATGTAGTTCTACGAATTGGTGTTTCTCGGAAAAGGTTTCACGTTCAAAAATTGTAAATTATAAAAGGAAAGCATTAGATGAGTGGGTCTACTTTATTCGATTTGAATTACTCAGAATCCAAATCACATCTGTATAGTCTGCACATGCCTATAGTGGAACACGTAGATAGACTTAAATTGACAAATCCAACATTCCACACATTCCTTCCCTTTTTGGGTGGAAATACACTTGAATTCGTTGAAATACGGGTGAAAGCAGGTGAAGTTGAATTAAATTTATATAAATTTATTATTAAATATGATCAAAATTTAATAAATTAAGTTAGGTTAGATTTATATATATATATATATATATATATATATATTAATTCAATCATAATGAGTTGGATCAATTAGATTAATATAAATAAATTTATTTATTTATTATAAAAATTTAAAAATTTTATAATATATAAATTATTTTATATTTTGTTTCGAATGTAATATTGTGAATCAATAAACTAAATAATGATACAAACAAGTTTTTAAAATAAATTTGTTGATTTGTTATATTGTTATTAACTCAAACAACCAACGTTAATATAATTTAAAAAATATATATATTGTATTGTTACACTAACTTCTTCTTCTTAGAAATAATCAAGAGTGACAAAAAATATTGTTCTAAACAAATTATCATACTAACTTCTTTTTTTTTCTTCTTCCGAGATTCACTTTTAGATTCTAATAGAGTTTAAATTAAGTTCTAAGAACAAAGTTGAGGTTGAGTTCCACTTATTATTTATAGACAGATTGTCTATTTGAGAGGACGATCTAATCACTTAAGAACTTGTTAAGAGCTTATATCTTGAATTATCTTGATAGTTGGGAGGAAGTGTTGCCACTACAACAAAATTTATTATTACCGATAATTATTTAACGACAATACATTAATTGCCTTTATTTTCTTATTTAATAAAAGTTAATGATTAATATATAATGGTCACTAAAAATATATTTATATCACACTAAAATTTATTATTAGCGACAATTATTTATTAAGAAAAATTTTAGTCCACATCGACTAGAAATAAGATAATTAAAGAGTATATAAATGGATGATAACTCTCATCTTACAAGTTTGTTTTGTAGGGTTGAGTTAGACCTATAACTTACTATTCTAAGTTGGTATGAAATTACTTAGAGCAACTCCAACGGGAGTTGCTTGTCCCATCAAACAACTTAAGCCCCGGTTTTTTACCATTGAAGGACTCTGACGTGGCAACATGAGTTGCTTGAAGAAGAGAGAGAGTTGCTTCCTCAAGTAACCGTTCCTTACCGGATTTCAAGCAGATCTTATTGAACATATTTGGAAACGTTTCAGAAATAATAATATGAAAATTAATTTCGTATAATGTCTATGTGTTTACTATTGCTTTATTTTATTTTTAATATCTACTTATTGTATATTTTTTCTCGTAATTTATTTTCTTTCATTGTAGTGCAATTATCCTTTTTAATAAAAATTTAAAATTGGTTCATAAATGATTAGAAAAAATTTTAAAAGTTGAATTTCTTAAAGTTTCTTACCATTGGAGTAAATTTGTGTTTGAGTTGCTTAATACTAACATGACACACTAAGGACCACTTTTTTCATTTTTCAATGCATGAAGCAACTCAAATGAGTTGCTTCCATTGGAGATGCCCTTACCATCTTACAAGTCTCACATCGACTAGAAATAAGGTAATTAAAAAAATAAGAAAATTAAAAAGAATATATAAGTAAAAGATAACTCTCATCTTATAAGTCCCACATCGACTAATTGAATAGTATTTATACTCATCTTACAAGTCTCACATCTACTAAAAAGTAAAAAAAAATGTTGGTAAAATTTTTTATAACAATTTTTATTGCCACTAAAAGTCATATTAAATGTCACTAAAAGTCTATTTTATTGTAGTGATGCTTTTGATGGATGGAGTTTATGTATCCTAAGTCAAAATAATCTGTAAGTCAACCTAGTAAAATAGGTGAACTTTAATTTTCTTTTTATTTCATTTTAATTATAAAAAAATAGTTTAATTTACTTAAAATTTAGTTCATTACATTTTAATTCGTCATCGTCAAGTTAATTCTTGAATTAACTTACAGGTTGACATACGTAATTTTTTTTATTTTTTTATTTTTTTGTTTTATTTTAATTTCTAAATACCAATTTATATAGTTATATATTTATACAATCAATCAAATTATATATATATAAATTATGAATTATGATAATTAGTATTAATTTAATATTATTTATTAATATTTTATATTATTATTTTAATATTATAAATTAATTGAATCGGTTATAATTGATGACTATTTTAATTTTTTTTTTACATTTTTTTAATTTTATTGTTAAGTTGATTGAAGAATAAGACTATACGGAGTTTTTTTTTATATAATATATATATATATATATATATGTATATATTTAAATTCAATTAGTTTTTTAAATACAATAAAATACACAAATATTTATTTAAGCACGTACTTTATTCAAAATATTTAAATTTTATTAATAGTCATTTAATTTTTCGGGATCGAGTAATAATGATGCTATACATGTAATTATAAAAATAAAATAACAAATAATAGACATAAATAAACTAAAAGCGCACACACAATTACACAATTTCTTAATTAAATAACAAAAAAAGTGTCGTTAAATTACCTTTTAACTTTTTTCAAAAATGAAAAATGATTATTTAATAATTGTATTTGTATTTATTACATTTTAATAATCTATGTAAAAGATTTGCAAATTAAAATTTTCAATCATATTGTTTTATGTATTTTATATAAAATATATGATACGAACTATAATTTATATGATATATAAAATAATTTATAAATCACACAACATCCATGCCTTTAAATGTTTATTTAATTGTATATAATAAATAAATATATATATATATATATATATATATATATATATGCATAAACTATAATATAATAAGTTAAAATAATTAAATTACATTAATTATTAACATATAAAATTTCAAAAGTTTCCTAATCTAAATTTTTTGTTAAAAACAAATCAATTTAAAATTTATATTTACATGCATTTAATTTAGTTCCTTTAAAATAGTTTTCAGAAAAATAATTGTTAAAAAATAATTTTTAAATATATAATTAATTAAAATAATTCATAAATTATATCTCTTTGCTTGTGTACGGTATGTGTGATTGTGTATGTGTATAACATATTATATTGCGAGGATAATTTCTATGCATTAACAATATAAATACTATTTCATTATGAAATAATTATAAATATTTTTAAATATAAATTTTAAAGAAGTTATTAAACAAACAATCAATTCGTATTATACATGACAACATATATGACTAAATGACAATGTTAATGACCTTTGCACCGCAGTGTAATTTATATAAATTATTACTTTAATTAATATTATATGCACTTCAATTTTTAAATTTTAAAATAAATATTATAAACTAATTTTATCAAATTATAACACAATAATAATTTTTAATGTGTATATAATTAGAAATAAAATTCTCCAAAAAAATATTTTTATTTAATAATTTTTTATATATATAGATTCGTAAGTTAAATCACATATTAAATTTATTAAACTTAATAAATATATTTAATAATATTATTAAATTTAACAATACATTATATTTAATGAATGCAACAACTAATTAATATTATACCATTAAAAATGTATTTATTTACATATCTTTAGAAATATACTACATTAGTAATTAACATAAAGTCCTATATTAATATTAATATATATGCATTCTAATTAAAATTTAAATATATTACCAAAAACGATTTTTTTTGGTTTTAAATAATGTTTTCTAAACCATTTTTTAAGCAATAATAAAAACAATATTTTTCAATATATATTAAATTATAATTTGATTAACATTAATTTTTTTTACAGGAAATATAAAATAAACATTTAAACTATCTTTAATTAATATGAAAATTACTACCCACTTAACAACGTACTTGATTTGATTTGAGGTATGTTTTGTAGTGCAGATTAATGCAGAATCTAAATCTATAAAGATAATATTTGTAGACGTCATTGAAAACTTCATAATTGGGCCGTTACGCAAAAGTATAGTTTGGTATAGTTTTTACTAATAATCAGTATTTTAATATGTATAACGTACTGATATGTTTATTATATACAATATAATTAAAACTTAAAATAAATTGTATTTAATAAATATTATAATTGAATATATACTATATTTAAAATTAGTACACATAAATATTTTTAAATATATAAATTATATTTTAGATTTATGATAAACAATTTTTATTGTAATAAAAAATTTATTTATAGTTATTGATAATTTATTTTAAAATATTTATATTTAATTTATAAATAATTATAATAAATAAAAATTAAATTAGATAAGAAGTTAAAGAAAATCTATACAAAGTACAAACCCTCTCATTAAAAAAATTCCTCTAAAAAAAACTCTCATATAAAATAAAGGTTTGTATTTAATTAAATAAAAATTAATTATAATAACTCAAACATTTGATTTAATTTGTATCTTTTTAAATTTAGAATTGAACCATACAAATTGTTTTATAACTTTTTAATGATATATTATGAATTGAATCGTACATTTTGGATTTAGATATAGTTAGTTGCAATCATATTAATTTATAAGTATATTGAAATTTTAGGTTGTTCAATACAAGAAAATCTTTTATAGAAATTTTATTAATCAATAAAACTAATTAAATGGGTGACATTTTATTTAAGCATTCGAAATATCGAATGAATTAGTTTAAATATTAAAATAAAAAAGAAACAAAAATTAAATGAATTAAAATTAAAATTAAAAAATGTCAACAACAATGCTTATCTAAGACATAATAAATGTTGTTATAAGATACAGTTAGACTACTCTTACAATAAACAAGTGTCGTTATAGAATATTTTTTTACAATACTTATTTATTACAATGGGTGTTTTAAAACTCCTTTAGACAATGTTTATTTTAAACAATTGAGTTTTTAAGTGTCTCTATTACAACACTAAAATAAGTGTTGTTTAAAGGAGTTTTATAACAATATTTGTTTAAAATTGGTGTTATCTAAAATGACTTTAATTATAATAATATTTGTTTATTACAAATATTATTTATTATGTTCTATAATAACACTTTTAAAGTGTTGTTAAATATAGTCGCTCTTTAATATATAGTATTGACATAAACAACACACAAAAATGTTGTTAAAGATCTTATATATATATGTAAGTGTTGTTAATTAATGTTTTTTTTTATATTTTTATTTTATTTTATTTTTTATTTTAGCGAAAGCCACATACATAGCATTTTAGATGGTTTTTGATATTTTGTACGTAGCATTTGATCAGAGTTGAGAAATGTTATCTGAAGCTTATGAACTGAAGATATTTCAGTAATTTTGGTATAGAAAACTGTTTAAAATTAAAGAAGATGGACATTTGGGGACTCTCAGAGCATATTATAAAAGATATTGGAGGTCTAAAAAGTAAAAGAAAAGAGAAAACTTTTATCATTCTGATGGCGTCACTCACATCTTTCTACCAACTCACGTGCATGCAACCATAAAAAAACGAATTACATATGAAATTCTAATATAATACATATATACATTTTATTCTACGATTATGTTTTCAATTTGTGTGTTGTACCAAAGAAAAAAGGTCGAGTGTATAACATCAGACAATGAAGACAAATTCGGAAACAGCTGTAAAACTACTGTATCACGTACGAAACATTTCTTGATTTTATAATTCGTGAAATTTGACGTTTTCTTAAAATAAAATGCATGTAATGTCTTTGGGTACATATATATATAGATGAATATGTAAATTTTATAGAGGTACACAGTTATATAAAGCGGAAAAGCGTAGGCTGCGTTTCTGATATATACGTAGCTAGGTTAATTTTTTAAGGCCTTTAGATATATAATTTGAATTTGTTGATGAATATTGTGTACGAAATGAGAATGATATATTATATCTGTTATATGGTGTGCATATATATATATATATATATAATAAGATTGAATGAAAAGAAAAAGTATAAAGAGTAGAAGTATACGTTAGGCGTCGATGGGTTTGGTGATGGATGGATGCATGGAAGCATTTCCCAATAAGAGAATCGAATCCATCTCCTTTCTTTTTGCTTTCACAGCCTTCTTTACCATTCCCCAAGAAAAATGGTGGATGATTTCTATTAGTTTTAAGATTTCCTTCTTTTTATTTTTTTGGGGATTTTCGTGCTATATGTTTTCCCTCTTTGCTAATTCCCCTCTTTCTTTCTTTTCTTTCTCAAGGAAAAGAGTGAGTGCGATAATGAGGAAGGAAAAGAACATGACAGCGAAAAAGCCATATCAGTGTAACGAAGGGCAAAAAAGAAAAAGAAAAGATGGTCAAAATTTGAACCTCGAAGACTTCTCTTCCATCATCATCAACTTCGACTATCTTTATCGAAACTCTACCAAGTTTTCCTCCTTTCTTTGATTTTTGAACTATTCCAATCAACATTTAGTCATCAATGAGAATCGTTTCTCTTTCACTAAGTGGCATCGTAGTGCAATAATTTCAACCAAGGACGTTCCTTGAAGTAATGGCCATGCAACTTTTACTTTAACATCGCCTACGTCTTGGACCTATACATAATTTTACCCTGACATGCACGAGTGATGATCATCAAGTTTTTTCATTTACATAAACACACATTTTTATGTTCGCGGTCCAAATTCTCGTCGCCACTCTCATCATTAAAATATACGAGTTCTTCGTTTTCTATGGCTGGGACAAAGGTCTGTATGTGTTAGTGTGTTACAAACATTTCTCCAAACAAGAATCACTATTTGGGACCACTTTAAAAGACTAGGATTAATAACTTAATATAGCTTATAACTGACATCTATATCTATATATATAACTCCCAACATGATTATAAACCTTTTTCTTCATATCCTCGTTCCGTTTAATGATTTCATAGTATATGGTCATGATGGGAAATGGGAATACTCGCCTATAATTCATTTAATTAGGTTGGTAAAGGAGGATTGGAAATTAATTATGTAGACATTTTAGATTCCGTGACCTTGATCATTAATTAGGTTAGTAAGATGGAGAGGAAATTAGTACGAGATTTAGGTAGTAGGTAGCTAGGCCAAATGTTCACGTAAATGTATAAAATATTCGTAATAAGGTCGTGTGATATTATAATCCTTTTGACTTACGCCCAAAAGAAATTAAGTCCCAAGTACAAAAGAGGAATATTCAAAATTGAAAAGCAGCACCGATTTTTACCATATAGTTTGTGACGACCCTTATAACTCCCGGCCAGGTTCTGAAAGTATAATATTGAAAGTAAGACATGACACCTCCTTGGCAATTATTTATGAATATGGGAATAAGCTGGGCCACTACGCACTGGGGTCAACAATCTCTGATCTTAATGTTTTCCTTGAAGTGTGAGGAATATTCATTTTGTCTGGTGATAAACAATGAATTTCGTTCCTTCTTATCCAATCCTCTCATTGATCAATAACATCAAAAAGAGGAAAACTATAAAAATAAATAAATAAATAAGATACACTTTGAGACCATGCGGTGAACGTAAGGTAATTTTTATTGTGATTCTTTCCCCGCCACTTCACTATAAATGAGGGTCCAATTAACACATATCCACAGTCAAAAAGGTCTTTTGCTATCATTTATGGACTACAAGATTTAAAAGATAGGGCATGGGCTTTGTGGTGTTTAGAGGTTACAATGCATGCTAATTTACTTTATGTGGGGACAAAAAAGTGCAGCTTGACAAAGTTGAACAAATTAGTTATAATTTCCATAATCAATTTTTTTTTTTTACGTGCATGCCCTTTCCTTATCACCACACAAACATATAATACACTCTAGTCAGTTATATGTGTACTTGGCATCTCCAAAATCCCTAAAAAATGCTATTGCCAACTATCATACTCCCATACCTTTTCATTTATCATATTATTAATTAATATATATGGTGTGTATGGAGTGGCACTTCGAAAATTCCTTTTACACTTTTTCCAAATTTAGTTTTTGATGATATCACATTGGGTTGAAGGAAGCAAAAAAGAAGCACCCGTTGCCCCGCCTGCGCACTGGCTATAGCTAGTTACTTCGATCTGCTCGATTTTCGAGGCCTTAATCGGCAGTATATAAACCACCTCAGCCTCTACACTCACTGCACCACAACCACAATTCAACAATCTCTCCTTCTCTTCAACTTGTGGAGAGCTACTTCCACTCAATACCCTAAATTCATTTTCAGTCTCCAAACTCCAAAGAGGTGAATATCATTCCTTTTCCCATGCCTACCTCTCACTTTCACATTTTTCTACGTTAATATATTATCATTATGGTATAGAATAAAACATAGGAGTAAACTTACATGCAACTCCAACTGATTTAAGTGTTATTTTCCAATTATTTGAATAATTAATCGAAGTGAATTTTCAATTCTGAATGGCATTGAATTTTAGGTACTCTTTTTTTCTTTATCACATCTTATCTTTTCTATCTTTTTGTTTCACGCAAAGTGTGTCTACACGCAAAGATGTTTAAAGATAATTTTGTAGAGAACGATAGCTTAAACACATGAGAAACTAGATTTAACTTTTGTTTAATAACATACTACTACTGAGAATAATAAGTGTATGTATGCATGTTGGATTTTGGAAACTATGAAGGGAAAATGAGCAGACCAGGAGATTGGAACTGCAGGACATGCAACCACCTGAACTTCCAGAGAAGAGAATCGTGCCAGCGGTGCGGGGAGCCAAGGAGTGGTGGTGACTACGGTGGAGGTTTTGGTGGCAGAGGCTCTTCCTCCTTTGGCTTCACCACCGGCCCCGATGTTCGCCCCGGTGACTGGTACTGCACCGTTGGAAACTGCGGAGCCCACAACTTCGCCAGCCGCTCCAGCTGTTTCAAGTGCGGTGCCCCCAAGGAGGACTCCTCCGCCGCCCTATTCGACGCCGACATGCCCCGAATCAGACCCTTTGCCTTTGGTGGCGGCGGCACCTCCGCCCGCCCTGGCTGGAAATCCGGTGACTGGATATGCACCAGGTATACACTCACTCTCAGTAATAAAAAATTATTAGATAGTTTAAGAACATACATACTTCATGGTTGCAATTAAGTATATTATATAACATGCATTCAAAATTTAGATATTAAAAAGTAAGTAATAGTATTTAATTACATATTATGAAAATTTTTGTTAAAGATCTTGCTGTGGAGTATCATCTAATAATCGAGTTTCCATGCTATTTTGATACATTTGTTTTTTGGGTTAGTTATGAATTTGAACATATTAAAGGAGGGAGGGAGGGAGGGAGTGTTCAGAATCCTTAAATTTTCGAAGATATATACCATATAATTTCTCGTACATCACTTCTTCCTTTATCAGTTAGCTACAGTAGGAACTTAAAAAGAGAGCAGTGAGCACTTCGAAAAGATACATACTTACGTATTTATTATATTGAATATTTCCCGAAAACTTTAAATATTCTTAACTGATTTTTGTTATTATTCATTTTTTAACTATTGTATGAATACATGTAAAAATCACTATTACTTATGCTCATTTTTTAAACACTATCTTTCCTTTGTTTATTTAAGATTTGTGTTTAAAGATAAGTTTATATTAAATTTATAAATTATATGGTGGATGTGTCATGTCATGTAACTTTTACAATTTGTCAGACAAATTACTGTGTTGAATCAATCTATATCTCATGTTGTATCTTAGATTGTGATAAATATGTTACAGATTTATTATTTCAATAACTGACATCATATATAATTATGATCCTTTATTCTTTTATTATTATGATGATGATGATGATTTAAAAATAAAAAATAAAAAAGCTATTATGAGTAAATAAAACAGTAATGACGAAGTGTGTTAAAATGTGCAGGTCTGGATGTAACGAGCATAACTTCGCGAATAGAATGGAGTGCTACCGATGCAATGCACCGAGGGACTCTAGTAGTGGCAGGTCTCCCTATTCATCGTAGAGTTCCTGGATCCATGTGGTAATTGTAATACGTTTTCTTGAATAATATCAGTTATCTAATTAATTTCGTCATACTAGTAGTATATATACGTTCACATTTGTATATATGATATAAACTAGAGTTACAGGCACTAATGACTAATCACCCCTTCCTTTTTCATTTTCAGGTTTGCTGTCCAAGGAGAGAATCGAGAGGCTATATCCCTATTTCCTAGTGATAGTGACTTTATTTTTGGTCTCTTGCTTCCATATGTTACTTTCTTCATCTTCTCATGCGGATATTTATTTTTGCTTTCTTGATTTTCTTCCAGCTAGGAAGCTTTAGGTGAATTATGATTTTGAGGTTTTGTTGGCGCTGAGTGATTCTGGTATGAGACTCAGCAGCTAGCCCATGTACTTTTTTTAAGTATCAACAATTTAATATCGGTGTTAATGTGTTTCGAGAGGGGGCTATAGCTTCTAATTAGCCTCACTATGATTTGGTGCAAAGTGTTCTTTATCTAATTCTCCGAGATTTCAGAAAAGATGCTCTCTGCTTCTGTCTTTCTCTCTTTTACTCTCAGTTATACACACATATATACCTTTATAGTGGGGACGTGGTCCAAGGAATAATTGATTCATAACAGTAGTCGTAAAACTCAATGCTATAACCCATGTTCTTTAATATATGGACCACTGCGGGACGAAACCATCGTAACAAAGCTCACCAAGCTGTTTGCATATAATCATGTGCATGTATGTGATAGTAGAATCTTACATGCACACAATATGCTAATGTAACCAGATATACATGTTAATGTAATCATAGGTCAAGGTGAAACTTAAAATATGCTGCTTTTACTTTTGGTTCTACGGTGAATTTGATTTAATTTACATTAATTAGAGTATCGAGATCAAATATAGAAAAACAAACTATTAGAAGTATTTTTTCTTCTTTTTTTATAACCACAAATTGAAATGATATATACATGATGTTAAGTTCAAACTTTAATACTATCAATATATAATGACCAACAAGTTCTAAAATTTATACAAAAAAAATTATAGTATCATTTGAACATTTATCTAATGATGACAATGACTTTATTCTCATGGTGATTAATAAGATTTTACTCTCTATCTATAAGTATTAATACATATATATATATATATATATATATATATACATATATTAAAGTTAATTAATTACCTAGATTTATTTTAATTTTCTACGCTCAAAATCCACATTATTTTTGTAGTGATAATTGGACTAAAAAAAAAAAGACATCACTATAATTATCTTTAATCCAACACTTAACAAGTAAGTTTGGATTTACTTTTTTAAATTGACAACTAATAATTAATACTTTATTTTCATATGATATCTCACATTTTTTTATATTAAATATTAAATATTAATTATTATGTTAATTAATATACCTGACACGTGACTTGATATAACTGAATTTAACGAGTATTTCATTTCGTTCATTTACATTCGAACATATTTTTGCAAACTTTCACTCAAATGCTGACTTTTAATTAGTCCTTACAAATGCCATCACTAAAGATTCACCAAAACCCTTAAAGACACCTTCTCTATATTAATATTTTGAATTATATAAATATTTCCGATACAAATAATTGAATTGATAAAATTTAATTATTTTTCATAAGTTTGTCCAAATTTATACCAAGTGTGAATTAATCACACTTTTACCGAGTCTCAATTAAGATTTATTTATAATATTGTGAATTGTTGGTCCTTAATTGAAGTTTTAAAATGGATTAGATCTATTGATTTAACCCGTTTTGATACCCTTATTTTGGTGGAGTAAATTGAGGTTTTAAACTCACCAATTTCTTTTGATTCACTAAAAGATAAGTTAAAAGTATGTCAATTTATCGATTTATTTTCTTTAATTTTTATTTTTTGTAAATATTACTCTTTATATATATATATATATATATATATATATATATATATTATATTATAGTGGGGACGTGGTCCAAGGAATAATTGATTCATAACAGTAGTCGTAAAACTCAATGCTATAACCCATGTTCTTTAATATATGGACCACTGCGGGACGAAACCATCGTAACAAAGCTCACCAAGCTGTTTGCATATAATCATGTGCATGTATGTGATAGTAGAATCTTACATGCACACAATATGCTAATGTAACCAGATATACATGTTAATGTAATCATAGGTCAAGGTGAAACTTAAAATATGCTGCTTTTACTTTTGGTTCTACGGTGAATTTGATTTAATTTACATTAATTAGAGTATCGAGATCAAATATAGAAAAACAAACTATTAGAAGTATTTTTTCTTCTTTTTTTATAACCACAAATTGAAATGATATATACATGATGTTAAGTTCAAACTTTAATACTATCAATATATAATGACCAACAAGTTCTAAAATTTATACAAAAAAAATTATAGTATCATTTGAACATTTATCTAATGATGACAATGACTTTATTCTCATGGTGATTAATAAGATTTTACTCTCTATCTATAAGTATTAATACATATATATATATATATATATATATATATACATATATTAAAGTTAATTAATTACCTAGATTTATTTTAATTTTCTACGCTCAAAATCCACATTATTTTTGTAGTGATAATTGGACTAAAAAAAAAAAGACATCACTATAATTATCTTTAATCCAACACTTAACAAGTAAGTTTGGATTTACTTTTTTAAATTGACAACTAATAATTAATACTTTATTTTCATATGATATCTCACATTTTTTTATATTAAATATTAAATATTAATTATTATGTTAATTAATATACCTGACACGTGACTTGATATAACTGAATTTAACGAGTATTTCATTTCGTTCATTTACATTCGAACATATTTTTGCAAACTTTCACTCAAATGCTGACTTTTAATTAGTCCTTACAAATGCCATCACTAAAGATTCACCAAAACCCTTAAAGACACCTTCTCTATATTAATATTTTGAATTATATAAATATTTCCGATACAAATAATTGAATTGATAAAATTTAATTATTTTTCATAAGTTTGTCCAAATTTATACCAAGTGTGAATTAATCACACTTTTACCGAGTCTCAATTAAGATTTATTTATAATATTGTGAATTGTTGGTCCTTAATTGAAGTTTTAAAATGGATTAGATCTATTGATTTAACCCGTTTTGATACCCTTATTTTGGTGGAGTAAATTGAGGTTTTAAACTCACCAATTTCTTTTGATTCACTAAAAGATAAGTTAAAAGTATGTCAATTTATCGATTTATTTTCTTTAATTTTTATTTTTTGTACATTTTTTGTGTGTTAGGTCATTATTAAATCAATATATAAGATATTTAAATGAAATGTTATTCTTTTTAATCTTCTTGAACTTATACTTGATATTATAATATATATAATTGTGTATTTACATTAACTAATATTACAAGAAAATTGTTATACGATGATACATATTTTATAGTAACATAATATATGTTACTAAAAATTACTTTTATTTAAACAATAAATATAATATATATTAGTATATTATTAAAAAATATAGATATAAACTATAGTAACACACAAAATATGTTAAATCTCATTCAAAATCTAAATTAAAATTATGTATAACTATATGTCAAATAGATATATATTTATATATATTATACTAATAATGACACTTTTTGTAATATTTCTTGTAATGTAAGTGTAAATAGTCATGTTATAACTTTTTATGACTTTTTTTATTTAATTTATTGTGTCTAAATAAATTACTATTCAAAAATTAAATATATATTTAATTTTTTAATTGTTAAGCATGTTAACCTATCAATCCATAAATGAGAAACCCATTTTTCTTAATATGGGTAATACGAGTTGCCTCATTTTGGGTGAATTGATTATGAGACAAGTGAGTCATGATAAGTTGATCCATTTTTTAAACATTTCTTTGTAATATGATATGATAGATGCAATTTAATAGAGAAGACCTATTAAACAATTAGATAAATATTATTCTTAGGAGTTAGGAGGATAGAGAGTTGTAAACATGATACACCCTAAATTTATTTATTTTTCATGTTTGATATTTGTATTAATTTTTCTTAGCTTTCTAAATTTTTCATTTTGGCAAATATTATTTTTACTTTAATTACTACTTTAAATCATAAAGTATTGAAATGTTATTTCTTTCAAAATGGTGACTTATAAATTTATTGATTTCTAATTTCCATGCATATATGTATTATTAAAAAATATCCGAGTAAAGTTGTGTAATTATTAGTTTTCTTGTTCTTTGAGAATTGAGACAAGCTCCTTGCATCAGACTTTCATTCTTTTAGTCAACGATTTTCCTGAAATGATTCTCTACCTTGCTTTTCCCATTAAAAACCTTTGTCATATATTGTCTAAATTACTTGAAGCAATTTGCGAGAATCCCTGCGAACTTGCAACTTGATTTGACTGATTATGGGATCTCAAGGTTGTTTTGGGGGATTAATTTGAATTTTTTCGAAGAGCTATTGCCAACTGATAACTTGCGTCCCAATTTAAATCAATTTTTTTGCTCTTAATCAGTCAGCTTCACATGATCAAAACTATGATCCCAAGCATTTAGAAAATTGTAAACATTCATCCCTTCAATTTCATTTGATTTCATATGGTAAAAGAAAATGAAAATATTCAAAGATGAAACTCTTATAAGTTTGGTGCTTGGTGTAAACACAACCCCGGACCCCCCCAAAAAAAAAACAAATTCTTCATTGAAACAACAATATCATCCTCTTCTTAACAAATATCTCTATAAAACAACCCATCAAGAAGGCTTATGTTCTATTAATAAAATATGTTTTTTATTCATCAACGGAGGGGGTTCAATCACCTTGATTAATTAATCAAATCCAAAACCAAAGCATCCCGGTTTGGAAGCAGATCAAGAATGACCAGAATTTTTTAAGCGTCAATTGACATAGGATTCCGAAACTTTACAAGCTTATGATACATTTCATGGGTTTCCTCATTGACCTCATGGGTTAAGTTTAACAGCAACACCCATTGGTCAAAAGTAACCACACTTCATTAGTGTCTGCTACTACACTCCATTATATAGCTTTTAACAAGATTCTTTAAATTCACTTTAGTCCAAGCTTTATGTTACTTCATATGCTTTGTTCAATCATGTGCTTTGGTGAAGTACCTCCCTCTCATCATGTGCTTTGGGGTTCCAACTATGCAATTGAGGTTTGAGCCATTTTTAGTATATTGCATATTCCCCATCATAATTACATGAACGCTTAAATCACAATTCCATTATTCTAAAGATCGATCGGTTGATGAAATTCATGAGAGGAGATTTAATTTAGCTATTTTTTAATTAATTTTCAAGCTTTAAACATTTAAGAAGTTTTTTTTCTTCTCTCTTATTATTTAAGTTATTAAGAATAGTTATTCCT